GTGTGACAGTTTCTGACCAGGACCTCTCTGTGTTTGCAGGTGTCCAGTGTGAGGTGCAGCTGGTGGAGTCTGGGGGAGGCTTGGTGCAGCCTGGGGGGTCTCTGCGACTCTCATGCGCAGCCTCTGGATTCACCTTCAGTAGCTACTGGATGAGCTGGGTCCGCCAGGCTCCAGGGAAGGGGCTGGAGTGGGTGTCAGCCATTAGTGGTGATGGTAGTAGTTACATATACTATGCCGACTCCGTGAAGGGCCGATTCACCATCTCCAGAGACAACGGCAAGAACACGCTGTATCTGCAAATGACCAGCCTGAGAGCCGAGGACACGGCCGTGTATTACTGTGCAAGGGGCACAGTGAGGGGAAGTCAGTGTGAGCCCAGACACAAACCTCCCTGCAGGGGATAGGGGTTGGGCTGCAGGAGGTGCTTGGGACACCAGGGGGCGCTCAGGACACATTGAGCACAGGGACCAGCCCCAGGAGCAGGTGGGGACCTGGGTGGGGAAGAGACTTCCTTTGGGAACAGAGGTTTCCTGTGAAATTTCTCAGCTGTTCTCAGGACCAAGTCTTGAATCATTTGTGACCCTAATGTCTCCTAGTCTCAGCAGCCAACAAAGTGGAAACAGTGTTTGCAATGACGTATCACCAGTGTCTGGGGACCTCTCCTTCACCAAATTCCTGTGTGTATTTGTTTTGTCACAGAGAGACAATCCTGAGGGCTCTTGTCTTCCCAGTGGTTGGGAAACATTTCCCACAAGGAGAGACCCCAGCACAGTCCAGGCCCCTGTGTGCTGAGCTCAGGCTCCCTGCCCCCCACATGCCCACAGGGTCCCCACATGGCCCTTCCTTCCCACAGGCACACTTGGCCCCACGGGATTATGTTCAGCCCCCAGGACCTCCACCCCATGGGATCTCTGACCTCCCTACAGCACATTAACCTCTCATTCCTCATTTACTTGGGTGGAGGTTGAAACCCAGCCAACATCACCTTCTGTCACCTACTGTCCTAATTCTCACTAAATCTGTCCTAGACCCTGAGCTCCATGGGGCTGGAGCTCTGCTCACACTCCCAGCTCCCCCACAGTACCCATCACAGAAGGGAGGTCCAGTAAATACGTGGGCATTCATGTGTCCCACATCATCTCCTAATTCATCTCACATGTCTGTCCATCTGTGGACACCCCAGGGCAGGTTACACTCACTGGGTCCCTGATGAGCCCACATGTCATAGAAACATGATTCATGGTGACACAGGCACTATTGCAGGACAGGCCTGTGTCAGGTGGTGGCACAGCTGGCTGCTGATCCCTGTGACTCTCTAATAATGCAGAGGCCTTATGACACAGGAGATCCTGATGGAACCTCCTGTACAGAGCACCATGGTGGACACCTCATGGGTGGCTGTGGTGACACAATGGACAGGGAACAGAGTGGGTGTGCTGGTCACTCCTCATGTCTCAGTGACCAGCCCATACACAGAGTCAGATATTTGTGAGCTAAAGTTCTGGGAAAGACGTGAATTACAACTGAGACAGGACCCACAGCTGAAGTGTGTTTAGGAGAAACATTTAAAATACAGCAAAGGCATATGAACTGAGTGTAGTTAAGAAGCTGGATAAAGAATAGAGAATAATTGAGTATTACTCTCAGTACACACATTTAAATGTGGTATTCTGCCTTTTGATTATACTCACTCACATCCTCTATTAGTATAATCATTTTGCATTTACACTTAAAGCAGTAACTACAAAGTGTTTATAATGATTTCAGCAGCTTTGCTTGAATGTTTGCCATTAAAAGGATTTTAAAAGCTGAAAGGTGCTCTCACTGTCTGTCTTCACATCCTATTCTCTTCAAAGAGGAGAACACTGATGTTTGATGCAAATGGCCCATGAGGACTGGTCCCTGGTCAGGTCCCAATTTACAGGTTTCCCAGGACTTGCTGTTGCTCGTTACAAATGACCTCTGCTGTCTTGGTAAAGATAATAACCAGTGTGTCTATACCATTTAGTGTCATTTAAGAGAGAAATTTAACTAAGATGCATTTGAAGTCTCCTGATTCGTACAAGCCACAGGGTTGAGAATGAAAATTCCGTGAGTGAAGTAGACAGCTAGAAGTTTTCCATTTTTTCAGTCAATATCAAGGGCTAAACGTTGATGTTTCATAACGACGCTTGGAGTCCGTCTGTAGATACGTGCGTCCCCTCAGGGCTCACACAGGATTGTAACCCAGGTTCAGGCTGCTGGTTGGACACCATGATCCACTACAGCATTTTCTTAGCTTCCGTGTTACGTGTTTTTGGATTGACTTCCACCCTCACATCAGCCAAGTCTCTAGGATGGAGGAGTGATTCTGAAATTCCTCAACTCGTCCATGTGATGGGCTTTCCTGCAGATAAGGGAACCCACTCTGTGTGCAAAGCATCCCCAAATCATACACTGCTACCCAAACCTGTGTGTTTATTTCCTAGTTTTCCCCTAATTGACAAGTTCCTGCACCTGCAGTAACTTCCACCCTCTGGGCTGATTGTGTACNATGACCATAAATGCAAAAATCCTCAAGAATATGCTGTGATATCTACCAGCACATTAAAAGGATGATTTACCATTATCAAGTGGAATTTATCCCTAGAATTCATGGATGGTTCAACATATGTAAATCAGTAAAGGTGATACACAACATTCACAGAATGAAGGAAACAGTTATATCATCATACAAATAAATATAGAAAAAACAAAGGGCATCTGAGAAAAGTTCAAAATCCCTTCATGATAACAACTCTCAACAAATTAGGCACATAAGTGATGTACCACAACCTAACAAAAGCCACATATGAGAAGCCAACAGCTAACATCTTGCTACACAGAGAAAATTTGAAAAGTATTCGTCTAAGATCAGGACCAAGACAAGGGTCCCCACTGTAACTGCTTCTATTCAACATAGAACTGGAAGTCCTGGTCAGAATAACTAGGCAAGAAAAGAAGTAAAATGGCCGGCCGAGTGGCTCAGTTGGTTAGAGCTCGCTCAAGAGTTTGAGCTTGAGTAACAGCGGTTCCATTCCCAGCCTGTGCTGAGCAGCCGCTGAGCTGCCAATAGGTGGCAGGATGGCTCAACTTAAAATAAAGAAGAAAAAAGATATAAAAGTGTCTAAATCAGAAAGCAAGTAGCCAACTTCTCTGTTTTTATTCGTGTTCAGGTGACATGACCTTATATATTCAAAACCCAAAGACTGCACCAGAAAACTAATAGAAATAGAAAGTGAAATCTAGAAAGTTGCAAGATACAAACTCAATATATGTACATGATTTGTGTTCTACACACTATCAATAAATTAAATTTATGGGCTGGCCGAGTGGCTCAGTTGGTTAAGAGTTAGCTTAAGAGAGCGAGCTCTGAGCAATAGGGCCGCCAGTTCGATCCTCACAAGGGCCAGTGACACTGTGCCAGAGCTGAGCTCTTGCTGAGCTGCCAACAGGTGCCAGGATGGCTGATCTGGTGAGTGCACATGCTCCTAACAACAAGGCTGCATGTTTGATGGTGGACTTCACCTGCCCGCAACTAAGACTGACCTCGGCACCTTAATCTGAGCTGCCGCCTGGATGGCTCATTGGATAGAGCGTGTGCTCTTAACAACAAGGCTGCTGGTTTGACTGCCACATGGGATGGTGACTACGCCCACCCACAATTAAGAATGTAAACAGCACCTTGAGCTGATTGGCCGCGAGCAGCCGAGGGGCAGCCAGATGGCAACTGGAGCCCTCCACAACTAATATAGAAGAACAACAACTTGGCTGGTCCTCTTTCCCAAATCCCCAACACTATTCCCCTCTCCCAATTCCCCAATTAAAAAAATTAAAATAAAAAAATAAATTAACTTCATGACTCTAGATAATGTGTGTGACTATTTCAGGGAAAATTAAGGAAAGACACCTTGAACTGGCTGAACAACAAGGAAGATCCCACCTAATGAAACAAGAAGCCTGGACGTGTGTGGCCTCTGTTGGTTAATTCAAACACTCCTGTACCTAGTAGTTTCCCCCCCCAATTTAGCACATTGATACACCCAGTGAGTCAACTTCATGTTCCAGGGGACTCCCATCATGAGAGGACATGGTGACAACATTCTCCAGGGTCACACGCAGACATGGAAAGACTGGGAGAGGGAAGAGATGGTTCTTGGGAATTAACTCCTAAAGAGCCAGGAATTTACCACAGACACTCACTCCTGCCTCCCTGACTGGAACTACGTCACATGTCCCTGAGACACAGACACATGATGAGGAAAATAAGACTGAATTGATGTGGTTGTCCATTTTCTCATATAAAATTAACCAGCATCAATAACAGGAGGTGGTTTGAAATGTCCATCGGTTCTATAATCAGTGGATAAATAAATATGATGGTCTTTATATCACTAGTGATATCATGATAAAAGTTAATCCGGCTTAGAGATTGCCATCAGGATCTTCACTAGTTTAAAAGCACAGACTTCCTACGAGCAGTAAATAAACCTGAGAGTTCTAGTGCACAGTGTTGTGAATGTAGACAACAACACTGCATTATATTCACCAACTTTCTAAGAGAGTGTGGCTTGGTTCTTCCGAGCACTAAATGGAAATAATTATTAACATAATAGAGGTGCTAATTATGACTATAATGTGAATCACATTACAATATATAAAATATTCAATTACCATGCTGTACACCTTTAATTTACACAATGTGTCAGATATTTCAATGAAATTATTTTAATAACAGAAATTCCATAACCTCCAATCCTTATGATTTGCATATACCTACAAAAGAAAATGCAGTTTCATCTCTGTCCACTCCCGTTGAAGCTGGTCTTACAAGGGAGCCTGGAGAATAAAACAGAAATGGGGACC